ACACCTTATATACATACAATTTTAATCTTAATTTTAATTTTCCCTCCCAGCCACTGGGCCTACAACCAGGGTGACATCCAGCAAAAACCGTGCCTGGGAGGAGAAGCAAACCCCTCCAAGGAGCTGCAGTGTGCAGCCAGCAGGCCCAGCAGAGCCAGGGGAGGGTGTGTGGCCCTGGACTCTGAAGGCCAGGACCAGGGTGCTGGGCAAGGGAGACCGTGCTGATCTGTGAGCACTCCCGAGACTCAACACCCAGCACGAGCCCAGGCTCACAGCGCACTTGTTTTCATGGGAAGGGCCTTCCTAATAAGCAAGGGGAACCACCAGAACTGCCATAGACAGTGGAGGACAGGCAAGGACTCAGAGGAGTGGGGGTACCCCAAACACACGGAGCCCACGTGCTCAGGAGCACGTGTCTGAGGGGCAGCAGCAATGGGCAGCCCCCCAGCTGCCTCTTCTGAGCACCAGGGCTGCCTGAGCAACGGGCACAGGGGCAGTAATCACCAACGGCACCACGAGGACGGGAGGTGGCTTTCCCAGGTGAGAGGCCAGGGTGGCTGTAATTACTGTAATGAACTGCAGGGCTGGAGGGGCGGCCATGGGGCCAGGGGAGTCATGGAAAACTGGAAAGAGCACGGCTTCCCCACAGACAAAACGGCCCCGTGGCAGCAAGGGCACTGGTCAACCGGTCTCATGAGAAGCAACCAAGAACGATGACCAGGTGCTACGGGCAGCTGTCCCACAGGGATTCAGGATTCCATGCTCCAGGGAACCAAATTACACCCTAGTGACATAAAAAGGTATTTTAAACTAAAGCCCTCTGCTATCCAACATACCCAGAAAGCAGCTTATCTGACAAGAGGCAGAAACTCCTGAAGGAGGCGTCAAGCAGCAGAGAAGCATAATAAACACAGGCCCCTGCCACCCCCACCCCACAAGCCTACTTGTCTTTCCTCCCTGACGAAGTCAGGGGATTGAGCCCCCGAATCTAGTAAACCCTCTCTGTGCCCTTCGCATGCACAGAACTGTCTTTTATCCTGGAATCCTTCTTGTCAGTGTTTCCTCCCAACAGTGCCTGCCCCAGTCTCTGAGACCAGCAATGCTACTGTGAGAGCACATGGCCATGACTCCCCAGTCCCAGAGGGACCACCAGCCACATTCCCAGGACACCTCAGGTCATTATTCCATCCTGGACCTCTCACTGACAAGGAGGAAGAGCAGCTGCAACGCCTCTGGGATTTGGAGGTAGCACGGGATACCTGGGAATACTGCTCTGGCCAAAGTGGCCCGGAAGGCTTCGACTGGGGCCCAGAGAAGCAAAGCGCGCCTCGGCAGGTGCCGCTGCAGTGTGAGCAGCCCTGCCCTCCGGGCCACACAGTTCAGCAGACCCCGTGGTATTACAGGTATAACACGCCACGTGGAGTCTGGATCCTGGGACTCTGCAGCCACGGACGATCACACACTTTAAACAGCAGGCCCTGGTATGCACTGGGCACAGGCAGAGACCAGGTGCTTTGATCACGGGACACCCACTACCATGCGTCCAGAACTGCCCATCAGGAATCGAGTCCTAGCAGCCACTTGCTCCAGGGTACAAGGTCAAGCACACCCACAAGATGGACGTGGCAGCTTGAGACTGAGCTTGCAGAGGCCCAGGGGCACCAGCTGCAGGAGCCCACAGACCAGGCCCCCTGAGCCAGCACTGCAGCACCAACAGAGAATTGAAAAGGACAAAGCCCACACCTGGTTAACAGGTGGATCTGTTCAGAACGCAGACAGACTCTGCCGTCAGCCACTCTTGTGATGGGAAGAGGGCACACGTGTGAAGGGAGGGAGACAGTACGGAGATAAAGGGCAGGGCTCTGCCTGCCAAGGCTGCTAGAGACCAAAGCCAACCTCTAATGTGGCACCAGCCCTCAAGACCACCAACCATCCACCCGACAGCAGCCGGGAAGGGCCAGAGATGTGTTCTGACAAGAGCAGACCATGCTCTGTGTCCGAGTGTTTGCCCTCCAGGCCACAGGGCTCCAGTTGGCACGACTGCCCAATGGCTGACAGAGTAGGACCTACTGCACAGGGTCCCACATGACACTGTGCCAGTCCAGGGACATACCTATAGCCCAGGACGAGCAGAGGGGAGGGGAATGACCACAGGACTCGCTGGCTATGTCACATCCCAGAGTGATCTAACTGTAAGCTACAGCTGCTTCCTGGCACTTCCAACTCCTTGCTCCCAGGCACCAGTGCGCAAGAGAAGGGGCCACCACTGAGACCTTTCTGGCTCTGGCAGCTCCACATGCACAGTTCCCTCTGCCGTCCCAAGTCCTCCTACTGCCTCCAAGTCCCCCTGGCCCACTTTGACTGAAAACAGCACTCTTCCTTTGGAGCCAACTCTTCCTACCAGTCTATGGCACCTTGGCCACAGGTTTGTCACAGCACACACCAAACCATCCTAGGGTTGAGTTAACCCAGCTGCGTTTCACATCAGTACTTACAGGTCAGCCAGCCCCAGGGGCTGGCTCTCAGTCCTTGCTGAACGAATTAACGTAAGGGAGGAGATGAGAGGCTGGGGGGCGGGGGAGCAGCAGAGGGACCTGAGGCAGGCCAGTAAGCGGGAAGGAGCGCATGAGAGCCGCACTCGCACGCTGGCCCAATCGCAACAGGCCTCTCCCACCAAGCAGAACAGACTCAATCACCCCTTAAGCAACAGGAGCCCTCCCAGGTCCCTGAGTGCGAGTGTCCTGACGACAGCAGAGAAAGGCCACGCAGAGGCATCAGGAGAAGCCAGAGTGGGCAGAGCTGCTGCAGGCGTGAAGGTGAAGAGCGGGGAGAGCACATTCTAGCCAAGAGCAGGAAGGATGGAAAGCACCATAAAACCAGCAGCTGGCAAAGCCTGCACGTAGGGCTAACCTGAAGTGGAATGGAGGCAGGTTTAAGAGTGACTACAGTGTTTCTGTCTATAAAATGGAACAGGTGTCCAGGGAAGAAGAGTTGGGAAAGAAAGTTAGTCCAGGGATCAATTAGTTCTAGGCCATCCATGAGGAACTGAGGTGATTTAAGATCACTCAGACAGCAAAAGCTAACCCAGCAGTCTTCTAAACTTTGTCTTTATTCCTTCTTATTGTAAACTATACATACACCCAGAAACTGCAGAAAAATATACACAGAACTTGACAAATAATTATGAAGTAAAGTCCACCTAACTATCACTCGGGTCCAGAAGGGAAAATCACCAGGCCACCAGGAACCCCCATGTGCCCCCAAAAGAACCTCCTCCCACCACTGATCACGCCTTCCACACACTCAATACATACACACATGTATCTCTCCCCCTTGGAAATACAGTGGAGTTCTGCCCACTTTTCAGCTCTCTATAAAGAAAGACACCCTGTGTGATATCTGGTGCCTTTATCACTGAGGTGTGCCCTGTGGCTGCAGCTGCAGGGCGTGCGTTTCCAGTGCTGTGCAGCACCCCACCATGGGACAACAGCCCTGTGTATCCACTGACTGCAGACACTCGGGGGCTTCTTCCTTGCCACTCCCTAGGAGCACAGCTGCTCTGAGCACTCCCTCCCTGACTCCTGGCACACAAGCCCCCCATCTCCCGTGGTGTCCACAACAGGATGGGTTTGCTAAGACAAAGGCAGACAAACTGCAACACTGGGCAATGTCAAACGTTTTCCAAAGAGCCTGCCCCAATTCACACTCTTGCCAGCAGCAGTGAAAGTTGCCTCCCTGGACACTTTCCTAAACACCTGTCTTGCCCACCTGGCGGGTGTGTGTGTGTCTGTGTGCGTATAAGGTGCTTATCCTCAACACCTGGTACCACTCCTTTGCCGACCTGCAGGGGGTATGTGTAACTTGTATAACATATACAATTATAATATATACAGATGCTCGTCTGTACCAAAGTTAGCTCCTGATAAACCATCATTAGTTAATAATACCACAGGCCAAAAATGCATTTAACACACCTAACCTACCAAACAACATGGCTTAACCTAGCGTACCTTAAATGTGCTCAGAACACTTACATTCCTACATCTAACTAACACAAAGCCTACTGTATGATAGTGTTAAATATCTCGTATAATTCATGGAACACTGAAATGAAAAAGAAAGGTTACTTGGTACTGAATGCACATCACTTTTGTACCATCATAAAGTCAAAAGTCCTTACTGAACCACCGAGAGTTGGGAGCCGGGTGCACATCACTTTGTTTTAACTGGCAAACCCTCAACTGGGGAGGCTGAGCCCCTTTCCATAAGTTTATTGGGCATCCAGGGTCCCATTTTCATGGAGCACCTGTTATTTTCCTCATTTTCCTACTGGTCTTTCTTTCTTCGTATTTATACGAATGAGCTCTTTATATATTCTGGATATTAGTTATTTACCTGTTATATACATCACATGTATCTTTTCCCCCTCTACGCCTAGTTGGGATTTTTTAAAACTCTTTTCATCATCTTTCAATGGAAAGAAGGTCTTAATTTTAATGTGCCTGAATTTTCAGTCTTCTCCTTTGTGGCTAATACTTTTATATCTTTATAAGAAATCATATCCTAACCCAAGGTCATGAAGACATTCTCCTATATTATCTCCTTAAAGCTTTCTAGATTGTCAAGGCTAGCAGATTATTTCACTGTGCGGTAAACAGACTTTTTTTTTTTTTTTTTTGCATTGATTTAGAGGGAAAGTAAGAATTCTGGAGGGTGAGAGCAGCCATCCTGGAACAGGGCAGAGCGGTGCTTCCTGACCCAGAAGTTCAGCAGAATCACCTAGAAAGCTTTTCTCAAACTACTCAGGCCCGTCCCTTGGATTCTGACTCTATGGGATTGGGGGACTGCACGGTTTGAAGAAGCTGAGCGACATCGACATGGACCACAATGTGAAAAGCAGCAAACAAGATACTAAGAAGCTAATTAAGAATGCTCCCTGAATACTGTATTAGACTCTATCAAGAAATCTGCTATCAATTCATAGAAAGTCCGTCACTCACCATCTTTCAGCTCCTGAACATCCCTGGGCTGGACAAAGTCTGGTTTGACGTTCTCAAACCACCAGAAGAGCTCAGCAATAAAAACCATAACATTTGGCTAAAAGAAAAAACAAAAACAAAAAGAACAAGGACATGATAAGTAGCTTATTCACGCACAGCTTTAAAACTGTGTGTTCAATAGTTCATTATTACCTTCAACACTAAGGGAGCATACAGCATGTCTTCCAAGGTGAGATAAAAACATTTGTTAAGATACTCATTGGAGAATTCTCTCAGGAGCCGGATGTTGTACAGACTGTCGGCCATCGACGTCACCTCCTTCAAGCATATGTCTGACAGAAAGAAATCACAACCGATTATGATGATATCCTGCTTCACAGGAATACTGTGTGTGTACAGAGATATAAAATGCTGAACCAACAGACATTTTATAGAAAGGTAGTGGTGATACTTAAGGTAACGACATTAAGAGATTTAAACATTACAGTAAGTATACAAGTAACACTAAATATAAAAGGGAAAATGCTCAAAAAAAAAAACCAAAAAAAAAAAAACGTGAAGAAAACTCTAAGGTCTGAATTTGGTGATGAACATCCATCCATAAAGCCTGACAGAAATCACTGAGACCTGCGGTTCCAAACCCCTGCACTGAGGAGCAGGAAGGGTCCGTGCCTGTTAGGAACCTGGCCACACAGCAGGAGGTGAGCGGCAGCTGAGCGGGGGAAGCTTGATTTGTATCTACAGCTGCTCCCACCCTCACATCCCCGCCTGAGCTCTGCCTGCTGTCAGATCGGCAGCGGCATTAGACTCTCACAGGAGCACGGACCCTCCTGTAAACTGCTCCTCACGAGAATCTAATGCTGATGATCTGATGGAGCTGAGGCAGCGATGCTAGTGGTATAGCGCTGGGGAGGGGCTGCAAATACTACACAATAAACGTAATATGCTTGATTTATCCTGGAACCGTCCCCAGCAACAGTGCCCTACCTCCCTCCCCCTGGGAAAAATTATCTTCCATGAAACTGGTTCCTGGTACCAAATAGACTGGGGACTGCTCACTTAGATTTTAAGACTGGGCTTCCAAAATGAATAACAACAATCACACTTTAGTTTATAAAAGAGCCCTGAAGCATGTAACTAGCAAACATTTAACCAGATTTTTTAGGTATCAGAAACCCTCTGCATGAGGTTATTTCCCTGTTTGCAAAGAGCAGGGGGAAGGGAAAAGCATATATTTTAAAATGTCAGGCTTATCCAAGTCCACTCAGTGATAATACAGGTATGTTACTAATCGCAAAAATCAAGTGACTATACACAGCCCAAGTCTCCATCCCTGAAGAGGTGGGGGACAACTGGCAACTATTAACAGCATCTGGAGTGAGACAATTTTCCATTTCACACTGCTTTGCAGGGTGGCAGATCTCAGTGAGGATATGCCGGTGCACAACCTCCTGAGTCCAAGTGCTCCAGGTACGGGGTAGGAGGCTACCCTCACACAAGAGCTGATAGAACAGCAGGATATAGCAAAGACTAAAGTAGAAGTGACTTAAGTTTATTTTTCCCTGTAAATATATACACATATTAAAACAAAGGGATCTGGCTGGCCAAGGCCACTCATGCCTGTAATCCTAACACTCTGGGAGGCGGAGGCTGGAGGACTGCTTGAGCTCAGGAGCTCAAGACCAGCCTGAGCAAGAGCAAGACCCCAACTCTGCCTCTACTAGGAAAAAAACAAAACAAACAAACAAACAAAAAACAGGAAAATTAGCGGACAGTGGTTGTGCGCACCTGTAGTCCCAGCAACTTGGGAGGCTGAGCCCAGGAGTTTGAGGTTGCAGTGAGCTAGGCTGATGCCACTGAACTCTACTTGAGGGGACAGAGTGAGATCTGTCTCAAAATCAATCAATAAATAAAAATAAAACCAAAGAATCTGAATAACTTATTTAAATAAACTTCATTTCTAAGAAAAAAACTGTTAAAAGTTGAGTAACTGTATGCATTTATATTGGTAAGAAATGTTTTTTAAAATTCTGATTATGAAATATTATAATAACATATCTTATCTGTTTCAGATCTTGTGTTTTTTTTTTTGGAGACAAAGTCTCACTCTGTTTCCCAGGCTAGAGTGTGGTGGTGTCAGCGTAGCTCACAGCAACCTCAAACTCCTGGGCTTAAGCAATCCTCCTGCCTCAACCTCCCAAGTAGCTGGGACTATAGGCATGCGCCACCACGCCCAGCGGATTTTTTCTATATACCTTTAGTTGTCTAGCTAATTTCTTTTTATTTTTAGTAGAGACAGGGGCCTCGCTCTTGCTCGGGCTGTACTCGAACTCCTGACCTCGAGCGATCCTCGTGCCTCGGCCTCCCAGAGTGCTAGGATTACAGGCGTGAGCCACCATGCCTGGCCCAGATCTTGTTTTGTTTTAGAAATAAAATACAACAGCTGGAGCCCATCTCCCTCTCCAAGAGCAGCCATTGTCCTACAGCTGCCAAGTACCCTCTGGTTTCTGCTAGAGCATTTTATCACACGTCTGCATCCATCAGTAACCTGTCCACAAACAGCATTCTCTTGGCTTTGTTAACTTTATGTCAATGATATCAAAACTACGCCTTATCATTTGTGCAGCCTGTTTTCCCCCCAAAACTCAATGTTATGTTTCTAAGTAGACCTATGCTGACATGGGTAATTTGTCATTCATTGTAACAGCTAAGTGGCATTTCACAATTTTTTACTATGATAAAACATTCTGCAATAAGCAAGCTTGTGCGTGCTCCTTGCATGTGCACAGACGGGGTGGTGCCCAAGTATACCCGGAGAAGGGACTGGCTGGGCCGTGAGCCACGCGCCCCTCCCTCCTCTGCCGCACTCACGATGCTGTTCTCCATGGCAGGGCCTGGACGCCGCCACTCCCCACCCCACCTCAGTGTTACATTTTAATTTATGCCAACTCAGTGAGTGTGAAATACCTCTTTTTGAAATAGCAAGTCCTTGATTACTGGTGTTTTATTCCTTCATCTTTACTGGCCGTTAAAGACGACTCCTTCAGTGAAATCTGGTCTTCCTTTGCCTCTGGGTGGTTTGTCATTTTCTTCCTGATTTATAGGATTTCTTTCTGTACTGTGATTTCAAAAGGATTGTATGATAATCCTTTGTCAGTTTAAAGGTGTTGCAAATACTCTCTCATGGAAATAGTTTATCATTTAATTTTATGTCCTTTCATCACAGAAAAGTTTTAAATTTTAATATGGTTAAATGTAACAATCTTTTCTCTTACTTGTGCCTTTTTATAATTTAAGTAATCCATCCCTACACATCAGTATATTGAAGTATTTTCCTATATTTTCTTCTCAAAACTCTCAAATCTTGCCATTCAGGTTCGCATCCTCACTCCTGTGTCGTGGGGGGTGCAGCCTCTCGTGGTCCCTGCTGACGTCCGACCAGCCGGATCTCCCGCTGCCCACCGCGCTGCCCACCGCGCTGCCAGGCCACCTCAAAGGACCAGGTTCCCTGCCAAGTGTTTCTTTTCTTGGTTCTATGGGTTCTTCTGGTCCACATGACTATCTCAAAGCCAAAACCTCACTGTTTCAGCTAATGTAAAGTTAAACAAAACTTGGTATTTGTACAGCAAATACCTCATCTTTTCATTCTTCAAAATTAACTTGGCTGAAATCTGGGATACTAAGTAACAAAATAAATAATAAAAGAAATGGACTATAACCCACTAATAAGAACCCATGAGGCCATGCTGACACACACCAACACATGCCGGGGAGGGCACTCTTCTGCAGGAGAACGCTTGCTGGCAATACAAACATCACTGAGGTCACAAACCATCAGGGGATGAGAGCACTAGCAGTGAGAGCTTGATGGCAAATGTGGCATTTACACTGTCCAAAGCCTCTCCCCACACATTACTAATTCATCATAAACCAAAAAACAGTAACCTTAAAAGTGGAGAAACCCAGCACATGCCACCTAACCCACTGAACAAAGCTGGTGTCAATGACACTGGGACTTCTCGACATTTGTCCCGAGATGATGCGCTCAGAACACATCACAAGGAAACATCAGACAGCCCCATTCAGGGATAACTGACCAACTCACCCACCTTAATCCTCAAAAACATCAAGGTCAAGAAAGACAAAGGCTGGGAAACCAGACGTGACAACAAAATAGGATGAGATGCTAGACTGACTGAAAGGACATTATTGGGACAAATGACCAACTGAACGGGACTGCGGACTACTGTACCAATGTTAACTTCCCGTTTTTGTTGTGTTAGGAGAATGCCTTTGCTCTCTCCAAAGTATTCCCTGGTGGCTCAAAGAGACACCACAAATGTGGCACAACGTAACAAATGTGGAACAATGTAACAAATGTAAAGGAATGTTCCTTGAACAAACTCCTATAAATTTAAATTTGTATCAAAATAAAATGTTACAACACATTAACCTTGTTCTTTTGGCCCTTACTCAACCATATGAGTTTTCCAGTTGCCAGGTCAATTTCTGTGAAAATAAAAGTATTTATGGGACTGGTAACAAATTTGCAGAACAAGCTAGAGAAATCACAATTTTTATGACACCGACTCTTGGCATCTGGGAACACTGTTTAAGTCTTCTTCGAAATATCATAGAAAAGTTTATGATTTTTTTCTTACATTTTTAAAACAGTTTTTACATCTTTTACATTTACATATTTTTCTTAATGTTTTTTGTTGTGCTTATTCCCAAGAACTTCACAGTTCCGGCTGCATTACGGGCAGACACACCATAAATCAGCTGATTCTGGGGTGTCTCAGGCTCCTCCTCCCAACCACCTGCTCAGCTCCGGAGGACCTGCGTCAGGACACAAAGGTCTCCCTTGGAACCGTGTGCAGCAGGCTGGGGTCAATAAGACTATCGGGTCCAATCAAGTCACTACGAGGCCAAGAACGGCCATCACAAGCGGGAAATGACTTTCCACAAGTGATTCTCTCTGCACGCACCTGTGGAGGAGGTTGTATAGACACTGCTCAGTGGTTAAATTCTTGATTTTTAATACTGTGCACAGGATTTCCAAAGATACTTATAAGGAAAGCTGGCCTATAATTCCCTTCTCATAATCTACTCTTGGTGTCAGGAATAATCCCGTCTTACAAAAAGCTAGGGGGCATTATTCTCTGGGACAGTTCACATAACACGAGCTGTCATTCGTGAAAGTCTGGTGAAAGAGCCAATAATGCCAGTCTGTGCGGAGGAACCTTGAGACTGCTGCGCCTGCGCCCACTTATGTCATAGCTGTGCGTCCACCTGTCTGGGCTCTCATCTCTCTGGGTTCAATAGAAAATCGTCCATTCCATCTAACATTCCAAATGTATATAACACAGAAACAGCCTCAGCACTTTTATTTTAGTATCTACTAGATTTGTATTTATATCCTCTTACTATATTCTTTATTTTTGTCTTTTTCTGATCCACCTTTCCAGATTATCTATTTTATTAATCCTTTACTAAAACTAGCCTTTAATTTTACATATTCTCTAAAACTTTTGCATTTTTTCTATTTTATTAATTTTTGATATTGAATTTACCAAGAATTTATTAGTTTTTATTTTAACAAGGTACATAGTCTTTAAAATGCCAAGCAGTGTTTTTAAAAGCTTAAGAAAAACAGTTCTCTGCCCATCCCACTCCTTTGACCCTTTCTGCCTGTGGCCTGACACTCGCTTTGGTCAGAGAACACTGTTCCCCATCTCCTAGTGGTCACTGGGAGCAGGCCGCGACCTGCTGCTGTTGCAGTGGACGATGGCCGCAGCCCAGGTGCCCCACGGCCCTCCCCTGCAGTCACACAGCAGGATGTGAGACAAATCCAGCATCAGTCTCTACCCACCACTGCGTCACAGCTGCATAGCTGAGCTACACAGCGTCTCTGCTCAGACTCCTTGCGCAACTCTGTTTCCTGGATTCAATACTTGCCTCATTTCTTCCCCAATTTTGCTGCCTCCTAACCAAGCTGGCCCATCTGCCCCTCCTGGGCTTTGTCCCAGTGCACTCCCAGGACCATCCACAGGAAGGCTGGTGGCTCCTACCACCATGATGGTCATGCACCCTGGATGGAGCCACTCTCCCCGGCTGGGCCCAGCTGTCCTGCTTCGAGGACTGTGGCCTGGTGTCATCAGGTTCCCTGTCCTGTGTGTGACCTGCTGGGTCCCTCCACTCACCCAGGACCCCATCTTATGCAGGGGCGGAGTTCACCACAATGCGCTCTGTGGGGGCTCTGCTTCAGCAACCCTGCTGGGCGCCCATGGGTCCTCACTATTTGGCCACTAGTGTCCTGCGGACGTTTTTCTGCATTTTTTTCCCTTGGGGCTAAGTTCTCCTGTCCTGTTTTCTCTGTTCTTTTTCTTCCAGCCTAGGCTGATCTTCTGATTCTCCTACCTCTCTCCTTTATTTCCCACCTCTGCTTTTTGTTCTACTTTAAGGGAAATTTCTTCAATTCTGTCATCTAGCAAATTAATGAATTGTCACATATCAGTGACCAAATGTTTCCTTCCCAAGAGCTCTTCTGAGTCTAATCATTTTGTACATCTTCCAGAGGTTCTTCCCCACAGCCCTGTCCTCGCTCCGAGGCCCACCACCCTGTCTGGCGTCTCTCCTGCTCCCTCACTGTCTCTGCTACTTTGGTTCTCGTTCAGGTCAGTGGCTTTCCTCAAACAGCAGGGCTCTCTGGCGCCGTCTGCAGTCCAGAGTGAGGCAGCAGGGCACAGGCACTGCAAGAGGGCACTGAGCAGGGGCCAGCCATCTCACAGAGGGCTGCCTGACATCAGTGGCTGTGGCCTTGTCCCCGAAGCTTATTACTATAGAGAAGAACCCTCCCCTGTCTTGTGTGTGGAGCAGGTTAGCATCACAGAGCCAACCAGGGACAGAGACTTCTTGGGGAAGGTAAACCGAGAGAACTTCTCTCACCCTCCGGGATGAAGAATTTTACACAAAAAAGCCCTTTCATCTCATCCCAGTATGCCTCTCTGCCTGGACTCTGAGACCAGAGCCTATCTGGCTGAGGGTCCCCCAAGAGTGTCCCCCACCTTCTGAGGGTGTGCAAGGAGCAGAAAAGCACACCTGGGCTCTCACTGCTCTTGAGGAACCCACCCCCACCCCAGGCATCACTGTCCCTATGGTCCTTGGTGCTGCCATGTGGCCACCAGGGGTGCCATGGGGTGAGCCGCCGCTGCCCTGGCTTGACCTCCTTCCTTTACAGTCACCACTTCTCCATGAGTAGACCTGTCGCTCCAGCTCCAGGTACATCCTGGTTTTGTCCAAGATGGAATTTGCAGTTTAGCTGCTTATTCTCCTTGTTCTGGAGTGACTTTTGACTAGAGAAATGGTCAGGAAACTACTCTTCATTTTTCTTCCTTCAACTTTCTATGTTCTTTTTCTAATGCACTGAAATGAACCTAGTTCATTCATTTCTAAATTCTTTATTTTCTGGCATGTACACTTGAGGCAACAAATCTCCCTTTACATATCACTGCAAGCTGTATCCTGGAAAGTTCTTAAAAGTATGTCATTCACTTACTCAGTATCTATCTACTCAACACCAATTTATCCCAGACCCTATTTCAGATGGTTGGGATGCATCAGTGAACAAGACAAAGAAAACCCCTGCCCTGGTGAAGCTCACACTAGCAAGTCCCACCGTGATTTCCTTTACAATCCATGAAATAGTTAGAAGCTCCTACTCTAGTTTCTAGGCATTAAAGATTTGAGAGGGGGAGTGTACTAGTCAGGGCTCTCCAGGGAGCTAGAACCAGGAAGATGTACGAGAGGAGATTTATTAGAGAAATTGGATCCTATCATCATGGACACAGAGAAGTCCCACGATACACCGTCTGCAAGCTGGAGAACTAGAGAGGTTGGCAACCTGGCTCAGTCCAAGTCCAGAAGCCTCAGAACCAGGAAAGTTGATGGTACAGCTCAATCTAACCAGTGCCTGAAGGCTGGCACAAGTGTTTCTCAAACGGGATATTAGCTTGGAGGATCCTCCCTTGGCCTTGTAAAAGTCTACCCACTTCAGAAAGAAGGGTGCTTAGCAAAATCTAAATCAGAATTTGTGTTCCCACCACCCCTGTCCAGACACCCACTGCCATTCACATTTCTCTCCTCACACTAGGTTATGAGCACCTGAAAGAGATGCATTGTCATCAATATCACCAATAATAAGCACGTGGTAAATGGTTTATAAACAGATTGAATTTTGCATTATTTATCCCATCCCCAAACTAAGTTCTAGATGTTTTAAATCAATAGAGGAAGATTTAAAAATTCCTACCCTTCTGAGACATAGATAAAGTCATAAATAATTTAGAAAACATTACCCAAATACTTTGGAAGTACAATTTACCAGACAAAATGCCGCTTAAGTGCGCTCATATCATCCCCCAGCTCTTTCATCTGTGTGCTAATATCCCAATTGATAGTAAGGATTCAGTAGTACTTTCTGTTTGTTTGGCTTTTTGTTTTTTTACTATGTGGATCAACGTATGTTCTAATTTCCTTTTAAGCCTTCAGGGCTGTGTGGGGGACGCGCTCACTCACCATCCAGTTTCATCTGCTCGGGGCAGTAATAGTGAATCACAGCTAAGAGAGCAGCGCCATCACTGCCGTCCCTCATCAAATCCTCCAGCAACGGGAAGTAGGGTGACTGCCTAGCGGAAAGGTGCTCTCGTCGATAGCGGACCTGTAGTTGATAAAAGGAAAACGGTCTCTGCGTGTGATGTCTCTTCACTACCATATATGTTACAGGCATCCGGTTAGATCAAGAACTGACACAGCACCTACTAGACACATGGAGAACAACTGCAACCCTCCACGAAATTCCAGAACGTCTGAATTACACACTTTGCCTGGAACATATATGTCAAGAACGAGGGAACTGGGCTCTATGGCTACACCGGTCCCTCCAGTGACAGCAGTGAGTTGCTAGACACAGCCAGGGCCAGTCGACCCTAACTGCCACTAGAGGTGGATGCGGCACAGGTGGGCAAGGAAGGAGAACGCACGTCTACACTACCAAAGCCAACACACCATAAATAATGAGAAACAAGTTAAATGGTGAACATCCTAATGCTTGGAAGACCCAAGTTACTATAACTTTTCTAAGTATCATCATCATTGGACTCAGCTATTTAAAAAAAATACAAAACAGCATTAATATATGGTTTGAGAAATTTCAGAAACCAAGGTAGACAAAATTTCTTGTAATACAAAAAATAGACACGCTAATAAATGCAACAAGAAACTAAATCAAGCAAGGTGCTCTAAAACAAAGGCCTCTGCACTCCTGCATTTAAAGGAGGCCGCTGCGTGGTGTTCTAAGCTCCACCACACCTTGGATCTGCTCCCACAGCGGCATGGCAGTTTACTGGAACGCAAGACACACCAGCTGCTGAGGGAAGGACGCTGGCCCAGGCACTGCTCCCTAACAGCCTCCAGTACCCTCGGGCTCCCTGCACTAACATCCATAATACAGCTTTAAGAATGGCATTTCCGCCATCCACGTTTTCTCCACAGCAGAGAAACACACAACACAAACTAGAGGAGCAGGCCCAGCAGTGTACAGTAAAGGCTTGATTTCTGAGAGCTATGCTGATGAGCTCACCTGGAAGAAAACCTGTCTCTGGAATTTCAAGTTATGTTCTAAATTATTGTGTAGGGTATAATGTAGAATAACCAAGATTAATGTTTCACATGAAACATTTCTAACACATTCTTTTAAATTTAGCAATAAGGCTTTTTATGTCAATAAAATCTGTCTCAACACACTTTAACTTGTTTCTCAGAGCCCACAGCACATCCTACGACACATGACCCGCCTCATACTGTACCACGCGTGCAAAGTCCACAGGTTCCAGCATGCAGTGCACCACAGCATGCGCCAGGCCAGGCTTCCACGGAGACAGCAGACACAGGGGATGGACCACAGTCATGCGGTAAAGCAAATGGTGTCTTGATTACAGATGGATGGTGTGGGTTTGAAATCAAGCAGAACACTCCCTGAACTACCAGGGTCCAGGTAGCTTGCACAAGTGCCTTGCAAATCAGTTTCTGTAAACGTCTAGACTGTAAGGTATGAGGTTAAACCTCTGAATCTGTCGATCTGTATCGACCTTTCTAAATTTATCCTCACTGGCCTATTTACTGAACACCGTGGGGCAGTTATCAACTACCTAATACAAGAAACTGTAAGAGTCACTGTTCTTGGTCACGTTTTTCTGGTTTTATAAAACTTCCACCTGAAACCTGACGTTCTGCAGGGGCTGCATTCTGCGAGCCCCTGACTAAAACACATCACTGTCTGAATACGCAGCTCTTTATCCTCCATGATTCAAGAAGTTAAAAGACCTAAACATTCATCAAAAATGCTTTCGTCTTCTTTTTTACTAATACATTTCAAAGACAAGCAAGATGATCTCTCCACGGCGAAGCAGAATTTATTACTGCTCAGACAGTCCCGCTTCCCAGCTCATCTCCATTGGTGTCTCCTTTATGACAGAATTCTAAGAAAAATATGGCCCAAATAATGAAACTAAAAGACACAGGCAATCAAAGGAGTGCATATAAAACCGTCTGCAAAACGACCTGTGTTCCGAAAGTTCTGTGGAAAGGCCTCTTGGAATGCCGAGCATTTTTCCATGTGGACAGGGTTACAAACTGCTCGGCTTCCAGAATGGGCCACCAGGTGATGTCTAACCAGAATTAAGGTTTTTAAACTTTCTTTTCTATGTGAAAATCCACACTGAACTCCAGAAATCCTGTGTTTGCACTGACCTAGCTCAGACCTGTCCCCACACCGTGCAGGCAGAGGTGACAGAGTGGTAGCAACACCCAGAACAGAGGACTCCAAGCACCAGCACAAGCCCTTCTCTGCAGCCCCAGCCCCTCACCAGGTACCAGCTCCCTAACTGGACCACCCAGTTCAGTAACTAACGGACACTTCACTAAATACCATGGTTAGGCAAGGTAACACCAGGAAGAACAAAACAGAAAGAGTAACTAGGCATTAGATCACTCATCCTGCCTTCTGCTACCTACTAGCAAACAGCAGGTGCCCCACCATTTACGTGTATGTTGGCCACTTAAAGGAGTTACTAAGAAATTGGGCAACATTTAACTTAGAATTCCGAAGTGCCACATCACAAAGCCTATCATCAGCTCAAAATAAGGGCAACGCTCATACTATATAAAGTGTAATAACAATGCCAAGGTGGACATTTAAACAAATGAAAAAAAAAACAGTTTTAGGTACGAGCAATTTTTAATGGAAGCAAGTGATCGCGACAGGATGGCTCTGCAGATGGCAGCTGGTGGCTCCGGGTTCACTTACAGGCACTAATTTCCAGTACCACTTGGAGGGAGACTGCTCGGAGGCGAGAGAAGGAAGGCAGGAGAGGAGCATCAGCAGAGCAGGTCCACGTGTGCACGCAGCTAGCACACTTTCCCCACGGCGTTTACACGGCAGAGGCAGGACAGCCTCTTGCAAGCACAATCTTTCAAGTGCACGCGACCAAAGGCATGTTGTGTTATCAGAGGATGAAAGTGGAGGATTGTAAGTCATCTCCACAACACTATCCTTTGCAGTAGCAAAGAACACTTGGGAAACTTGCCAAGAGCTGGGTACCAAAAGGCAACAAGTCGACGCTGACTCGGCAAAGGCTGGTGTTTAGTCTGTACCCACACATTTAAACAAGTCCATCTGAGGACAAGGAGGAAGCGCCACACTTAAGACCCAGATGAGGGAGGCACACAGCAGGTGGCCTGACTTGCCACCCACCTTGCTAACAAAAGCATGGCCGCTGCCTGGTGCCAGCAGAGGGAGAGGAGGGAGGAGGGGAAGAAGGCACACCGTCCTCCTCATCGAGACCATACAGATGGTCGGGCCACATTATGCGTGCACTTAACTGAGTGGATTCAATCAGCATGTGCTTGGCAAAAGAAAAATGCTGGAGGAAGCAAGACTAGCGACCAAAGTGTGTGGCACACCTGTCTGTATCGCCACAGCAGATGTGCAGAACTGACCCACCTGGACCACAGCACAGGGTTTCAGAGATGCGCCACCAGCTACACTGCACCTCACGGCAGTTCATGGATTTCCAAGAGCACCTTTTAGCAAGGGGCAATTTCTGGGCTGACTCCCAGGTAAATCCTGTGGCCCCTACTCTTGAGCACCCCGATTCCTCCCAACTCACTCTTCACTCTCTGACAATTCCACACAAAATCAGCCTTTCCTGGGAGGGAGGGGAACAGACTGCCCGTGCTGCCCTCAACTAGGCCCAGAGGCCCAGCAAGCAAGTCCGAGAGGCTGGCTTCTCTGGGGAGTAAGATAAAGCACAAGTGGGAGTAACTAATGTAACTCTTTACAGTCAGGACCAGCATTAATGCAACAATAACTTACTGCATTCCAGAAACATTACATTTACTCTTACCTTTTGATGTGCTGGACTTTCCAGTAACTGCTGTTTTAATTTAACTTCTTTCTCTGTTATCTCTCTCATTTTAAGATTCACCTAAAGTAGAAGAAAAACGCATTAACAAGGCAATTGCTTAGCACGCCGTATATAAAGAAAGGCTTTTCTGATGAAATTGGTGGTGATATTAATGGATGTAATCATTAATACCGTAGCACAAAATGCAACAATACTTGGAAGCTCTACATAACTCAGTGAAACCATTTTCCAAATGACCAGTGCATGTTACAAAATCATGGGTGAGGCCAGGCACAGTGGCTCACACCTATAATCCTAACACTTTGGAAGGCTGAGGAGGGAGGATCGCTTGAGCTCAGGAGTTGGAGACCAGCCTAAGCAAGAGTGAGACCCTGTATCTTTTAAAAATAGAAAAAATGAGCTGGGCTTGGTGGTAGTCCCAGGAACTTGGGAGGCTAAGGCAGGAGGATCGCTTGACCCCGTGAGTTTGAGGTTGTTGTGAGCCAAGCTGATGCCACTGCACTATAGCCTGAGTGACAGAACGAAATTCTTGTCTCTCCCCCTCCACAAAAAAACCAAACAAAATGGTAAAAGCCAGCCATATGTATAATCACAGTAAATGTGATTGGTCTAAACACTCCAACAGTAAGGCAGAGACTATCATACGGTATCTATAAGAAATTCATTTTAAATAGAAAGACACCAAGAGAATAAAAGTGAAAGAAAGGAAGAAGTTGCACCACATAACCACTATTGTTAAGGCAGTGGGAACAGCTATGTTAATGGTAAGTGAAGTAGGCTTCTGGACCAGTGATAAAGAGAGACATCTCATAATGACAAAAGGGTTAATTTAACCAAGAGATATAAAAATCCTAAAATTGTATGAATAACAGACTTTGAAAATACAAAAACTGACAGAATGGAAGCATGAAACAGACAAAATTACAACTACACATTTCCACTCTCCTCTGAGAGTAACTGACAGACATAAAAGACAGAAAAACTACTACAGGAGATAGTAGCAACCACCACCAACAATCAATCTGAACTGACACAGAAAACATCTACCCTAAAACAGCAGAATACATATTCTTTTCAAGTGCACACGAAACGTTCTGTGAGACAGAACGTGTGGTGAGCCATGAAATCAATCTCAATAAATTTAGGATTGAAATCACATAGAGTATGTTCTGACAAAGGAATGAAATCAGAAATCAAAACACAAAAAGAAGCCAGGCATGGTGGCTCACGCCTATAATCCCAGTGCTCTGGGAGGCTTGAGGCTGGTGGAGTGCTCAAGGTCAGGAGTTCGAAAGCAGCCTGAGTGAGACCCCGTCTCTACTAAAAACTAGAAAGAAATTAATTGGCCAACTTAAAAAAAAAAAAATATATATATATATATAAATATATATATAAATAAATATATATATAAATAAAGCCTGGCGTGGTGGCACATGCCTGTAGTCCCAGCTACTCAGGTAGCCGAAGCAGGAGGATCGCTTGAGCCCAGGAGTTTGAGGTTGCTGTGAGCTAGGCTGATGCCACAGTACTCTAGCCCGGGTAACAGGGTGAGACTCTGTCTTAAAAAAAAAAAAAAACACAAAAAGATATCTAGAACCTCCCTCCAAATATTTACAAATTAAACATCAAACTTCCATAATAAAACAAGAATCCACAAGTGAAACTGAAAATACTTTAAAGAGAATGATGAAAAAACAACCCATAAAAATGCACACGGCACAGCTAACGTACTGCTTAAAGAGGAAGCAACACTTTTGTGTGAGAAATGAAGAAGGCTTTAACGAATAACCTTCCACCTTAAGTAGAAAAGGACAGCAGATCGAATCCAAAATAAATAGAATGAAAATGACAACAAAGGTAAAAGGAGAAATTAAATATTAAACAATACAGAAAATCAACAAAAACTAAAAGGTTTTTAGATGATTAATCAGACCAATGAAGGGAAGGGGGAAAAGAAAAATAAGAAACAGAAGGAACATATCACTATAGATCACAGATACATAAAAAAGATAATAAAGAAATAATAGGGCCGGGCGCGGTGGCTCACGCCTGTAATCCTAGCTCTTGGGAGGCCGAGGCGGGCGGATTGCTCAAGGTCAGGAGTTCAAAACCAGCCTGAGCAAGAGCGAGACCCCGTCTCTACTATAAATAGAAAGAAATTAATTGGCCAACTGATATATATATAAAAAAAAAATTAGCCGGGCATGGTGGCGCATGCCTGTAGCCCCAGCTACTCGGGAGGCTGAGGCAGAAGGATCACTCGAGCCCAGGAGTTTGAGGTTGCTGTGAGCTAGGCTGACGCCATGGCACTCACTCTAGCCTGGACAACAAAGCGAGACTCTGTCTCAAAAAAAAAAAAAAAAAAAAAGAAATAATAGGAACTTTATGCCAATAAGCTCAACAACTAAGTAAAATTGACATATCCCTTCAAAGTTACAAATCACTAAAACTGACACAATATTTAATAGAAAATCTAAATACATGTATATTAAGAAAATTAAATTCATAATTAAAATCTTCCTGCTAAGAGAAGTCTAGCCCCAGATGGTTTTATCAGTGTATCCCCCCAAGGATGTAGGGAAGTAACACCGACCACACACAAACTACCTCATAAACCGGAGGAAACATTCCCCAACTCACTTTTTGAGCCCCGCATTACCCTGATACCAAAACAAGAAAAATACATGATTCAAAAAAACTACAGACTAATACCCATCAAGAACATAGATGCAAAAATCATCAACAATATATTTAATGTTAGGAAATTGGATCTATCAATATATAAAAAATGATAATCACACCCAATTGGTATTTGTCTTAGGGGATGAAAGGCTGGTTCAACACTCAAAAATCAATTAATATAATTCACTGTATCAACAGACCAAAAAAGAAAAACCATATAATCACCTCGATAAATACAGAAAAAGCAGCTGATAAATTCAATATGTACTCACAAAAAGAAATCCTAAGCAAACTAAGAATAGAAAGTAAGTCCTAAAAAAGGGCATCCACAAAAAAATTTACCACTAACCTTTGTAATGGAGCCGATGATTATTCCCTAAGATTAGGTACGAGCAAAAATGTCTTCTTTCACCACTTCCATTCAATACAAGGAGGCCCTAAACAGTGCTATAGGGAATTTTTTTTTTTTTAAGAGGCAGGGTCTCACTCTGTTGTCCAGGCTGGAGTGAAGTGGCACAACCATAGCTCACTGCAGCCTCAAACTCCTGGTCTCAACTGATCCCCCTACCTCAGTCTTCTAAGTAGCTGGGACTACAGGCCACACCACCAAGGCTACCTAATTTTTTATTTTTTGTAGAGATAGGGGTCTCACTGTATTGCCTAGGCTGGTCTTGAACTCTTGGCCTCAAGTGATTCTCTCAGCCTCCCAAAGTGCAGGAATTACAGGCGTGACCCACCATGCCTGGGAAAAAAATGAGCATATGGATTAGAAAGTAGTAATGCTGTCTTTATTCACAGACAACACGATCTTGTATATGGAAAATATTTAGAAATGTTTTAAATGCCACTAGAACTAATAAATAAATTTAATAAGGTCACAAAATATAAGGTCAATATATAAATTATTAGTGGCATTTCTATAGACTGATAACAAACAACTGGAAAACGAAATTAGGAAAACACGGCTTATAACAGAATCAAAAACATGAGAAGTATGGGAAGAAGGTTAACAAACTACATAGACCTTACCCTATATAAGACCTTACCATGAAAACCTCTAAGCCACAGCTTAGAGAAACTGTGAATCTACATAAATGGAGAGACATAGCATGTCTGTGGACTGGAAGACACAATATTGATAACACATCAATTCTCTCCAAATTGATCTAACTTCAGTGAGTCCCAATGAAAATCCCAGCAAGTATTTTTTTGTAGAAAGTGACCAGCTGATTCTAATATTCTTGGTGGACACACAGAGGACCTAGAATAGCTAAAACAATTTTTTTTTAATAAAAAGGATATGGCAGTTCAAAGACTCACATTGTCTGATTTCAAGTATTCCTATAAACTGCAGTCATCAAGACTGCCTGGGGTTGGCATAAAACTAGACCTGAAGACCAGGGGAACAGAACAGAGTCCAGAAACAGACTCACAAACATGTGGCTTAACTGATTTTCAACAGAGCTGCCAAGATAATTCAATGAGGAAGAAAAATTTCTTCTACAAATGGCTAAGAACTGTTATTTGTATGAAGGAAAAATGAAACAACCTTCCCTCATGTCGCTCACAAAAGACAACTCCACGTGGGTTGTGGAGGTGTGCAAGAGCTGCGACTACACACCTGCACGACCTGGAGAAGGTAAAGACTTCTTAGGCCACAAAAGGACAAACCATAGGCCGGGCGCTGTGGCTCACGCCTGTAATCCCAGCTCTTGGGAGGCCGAGGCGGGCGGATTGCTCAAGGTCAGGAGTTCGAAACCAGCCTGAGCAAGAGTGAGACCCCGTCTCTACTATAAATAGAAAGAAATTAATTGGCCAACTAATATATATAGAAAAAATTAGCCGGGCATGGTGGCGCATGCCTGTAGTCCCAGCTACCCGGGAGGCTGAGGCAGAAGGATCACTCGAGCCCAGGAGTTTGAGGTTGCTGTGAGCTAGGCTGATACCACGGCACTCACTCTAGCCTGGGCAACAAAGTGAGACTCTGTCTCAAAAAAAAAAAACAAAAAACAAAACTTAATCGGATCCATGTATTGCACACAAGTTACACCTCATTAAAGCTACTCCAAACACAGATAAAAGCAACCGGCTGGGCGTCAATAAGTAACAGCAAGAGCCCCCGCAAAGTGTCCACGGTAGAACTTCGGAGCCCTCAGGAAAGAGAGCCCAGGTCATACAAGCAACAGGGAACCCAGACAACGGGCAGACCCCTTGGTCTTGAAGAGAGAAGACAGCTAGTGGGTACGCCCCCAGAGCCGGGAACAGGTGCACAAGGCAGCTGGGAGGGAGGCTCCCGCATCCTCTCAGCACTTCGTGGCACTGGCCTTTTCTTGCATGCTCTCAGCTAAGCACATGGGACAAAGGGAAGCCCAGGAGGGCAGACATGCTGGTGGCCCAGGCAGCAACCATCTGGGCTGCAGCAGGACACAGTCCCAGAGTGATGCCACAAAGAAAGAGAAACTCCTCTCACTGGACAGGCCTGCCATGTGGCCCATCCTCTCAGCTGATGGGGATGAGGCCACCCAGACACAGAGCCAAACACAAGAAGGGAATGGCCTCACAGATGTGAATGTGAGAGCAGCTGAAACCTGCACTCGAATGAACACGCATAACACAAATTCTGGAAATATGGTACCTATGACCAAAGTTCAAAAGGAATTCAGAGCTTATCAGGCATCAAAGAATTGAGGATGGAGGAAAAACTCACCCTCTGGAAAACCTTACAAGAGCCCAAAGCTTACTAAACATGCACCAGTTCACCGTGGAGAGAACACCTGCCAGCATGGGGAAGGGGGAGCACGTGAGGCGCCCGAGTATCCACACTGCAGAGGGCCCAGGGTGCACGACTGTGAGAAAGCCGCAGGGGAGCACGATCGAGACACCAGGGACTTCACGCCAAAGAGGCTCCGGACACAAGGAACGGGGGGGGGGGGGGGGTTCGAGCTGCGCCCAGAGCCCACACCTCGGCCAATGTCAGAGCAGCCACGTAAGGGGACTGTTACTGTGAGGGACTTAGATTCATATGGAAATGCCAAGGGAATATCAAAACATGGAAAACAGGCCGGGCGCTGTGGCTCACGCCTGTAATCCTAGCTCTTGGGAGGCCGAGGTGGGCGGATTGCTCAAGGTCAGGAGTTCAAAACCAGCCTGAGCAAGAGCGAGACCCCATCTCTACTATAAATAGAAAGAAATTAATTGGCCAACTGATATATATATAAAAAATTAGCTGGGCATGGTGGCGCATGCCTGTAGTCCCAGCTACTCGGGAGCCTGAGGCAGGAGGATCACTCGAGCCCAGGAGTTTGAGGTTGCTGTGAGCTAGGCTGACGCCACGGCACTCACTCTAGCCTGGACAACAAAGCGAGACTCTGTCTCAAAAAAAAAAAAAAAAAAACATGGAAAACATTGAATACAAATTTAATTTTCGGATGAGAAATAAAGAAAAGATCATGAAAACTGAAGTATTAACTCCAGAAAAAACAAAGCATGTATGAGAAAAGGCACATGAGCTGTGAAAATAGGTGTCTAAGCACAGTTATATAAAGTCTGACCACAGATGTGCCCTAAGTTGTCAATGTGACCTCAGAAGATGGGGACAGTGAGTAGAGTGGACCGCGAGCTAGAATCATTGCTTGCCACAGTCCTAAATCAGTAGATGATACACTGTGACAAGCCAGGAGCCAGGAATACAGTGTATTTCTTTAAAGGAGGAAGAGAGGCAGAGGCAGGAGGATTGCCTGATGCCAGGAGTTAAGACCAGCCTGAGCAAGAGTGAGACCTACCTCTACAAAAAATAGGAAAATTAGCCAGGTGTGGTGGCATGTGCCTGTAGTCCCAGCTACTCGGGAGGCTGAGGCAGGAGGATCACTTGAGACCAGGAGTTGGAGGCTGCAGTGAGCTATGATGACACCACCACACTCTACCCAGAGTGACAGAGTAAGACTCTGTCTTAAAAAACAGAGGAGGAGGAAACAGAGTAAACATGTAAAGAAAGTGACACCTCTGGAATATATGAAGATTGTCTTTATATATCTGCCAAGTCCACAAACAGAGGCAAAAATAATCCAGGAAATTACTTATAAATACATAGCAAATATATGAGAATCCTGATCCAGTAGGGGGAAAAGGAACATGCCCCCCCCACCCAAAGGAATGTGAGCGAAGACACAAACAAGCCATTTACCAGAGAAGAAAGATTAATAGCCACATACTCTATTGTTTAAAGTTCCACTTTGCCAAGGAATGAAGAAATTTAAAAAGACACTATTTTTCACCTTTCCAATTGGCAAACAATTTCTAATAATAGCTGATACATGGGAAGACAGGGTAAAAAGACACCTCACAGACTAACAGTGAGAAAAATGATACAATCTGTATGGTCAAATTTGACCAAAAAACAAGCAAAAGTCCTTAGATGCAAATGTTTTTATCACAACCATCCCCTGGCAGGAGCGTGGTCTGAGGGAAAGCATCGAGACTGCGCAGAGCAGGAGGAGATGGCGTGGCCTCCACAGCGCTGGGCGCCGGGCGGGACGTCTGCTCGGAGGGGCGGGTGCTGACTGCGCCGGCCGCACCGAGTGCAAACCCCGGCATGTGACAGAACATACAATAACCCTCCAATGTGGTTTAAGTCTATATGTCACAAACAAAAACTATCAGAATTTGTATCAAAATGTGAACTATTTTCATAAATGGTAAGATTATGGGTAATTTACATTTTGTTCTTTTTGCTCATCCATAGTTTTTAAATTTTCTATAACCACCATGTCATCTCCTGTAGTAAGAGGAAAAATCAATAAGATGTTAAAGAAAAGTAAAAATTTGAATTTTTGACCGTAATAAGCTTCTGCTAGGATTATAAGAGCACCACTAGGAAGCTCAGACTCCCATGGAAACAGGCACCTGTCCTGAACACCATTTTTAACAGGATTCCTGCTGACACTGCTCCCCACACGCACAGTGCCTGCACGCACGGTGCCCGCCACCATGAGGCGTCCTTCAGGACAGTGGCAGAGACGGCACTGGCTAGCACCCAAGTCCAAACTAGGGCCCAGAAGCTCCACAGTGAGTCCTAGAAAACCCAGAGGCTTTCTATCCTCCACCCTACGGCAGGATTGTGAGATTTTAGGGGTTCTGCCTGTCCACTAGACTCCCCAAACCCGTTTGGATGGAACACCAACTGAAGAGCAGGGCAACTGTCCTAGAAGAAATCACAGCACAAACCTTTACCAATTCCTATCGGAAAGACCTGCCTGTCACAGTGAACGGAGAGGCCCGTAAGGGGAGTCAGCAAACGGAGCTGCCGGCCTGACTCTGCCAGAGCAAACTACGCAACCACCTAATCTAACTCAAGTCCACTAGCACAGCCTCGCACAGGCTGCACGATCTTCCATGTCCTTCATGTTATTAACGTCCACACTTGCACACATTTTTGCAAAAAGGAGGCTTCCTACCCGAAAGCCTTTGGTAAGGTAATCCTATACATACTATTAAAAATAAACATTCTTTACATACAAAAATTATACTATAAGCTTGTAAATGTAAATACTTATCCATTTAAACCATAAACACGTACTGCATTTTCAAATACAAATTCATCACACTCTGCTCTGGACATTCAGGAGTAACGCCTGTTTGCTTTGTTTTCTGACAACAGCAGACACATTTCTGGACACAGAATGTTATGCAAAATGAAGCCCCAAATGAAGGGACTGAGGGGCTGGGTCTTGGTGTGACAGCAAGGACGCATGCTACTCTCAGGGAAGAAGAGGACGGGCCACAGAAGGAGGTTGCACAGCCGTGCCATGAGGAGGCACTCACCTTGTTGATCCAGAACACCATGGCATCCTCAAGGTCGTATGGAAGTTCCTTCGAGGCGCTGAATGTTGAGAAGCGCTTGACACTGGCCACCACCTTCTCGATGCTGATCATCTCCACGGTGTAAGCCATCATCAGGGCGTCCACCATCGCCATGTGAGCACTCTGAGGACAGAGGCAACAGCGATAAGCCCCACACCACCTCTCCCACCAGGTTACGGTGTAGGGAACCTGCCCAGCCTCAGAACTCCAGCCTCATTTTTTCTTACCCTCCCGCATGAAGAGATGCTAAGATCTGAGACCTGCATTCCATCCTATTTCAAGCCTGGCATTGTTGGCCAAAGATCCTTAGGATGACAGGAACCAGGGAACCCTCTCAGGGTGGCAGCCCTGCAGCCTGTAGTGTTTCATGGTCCTCATTTGTTCATCTCCCTAACCAGCCTGTAAGAGTACCCCGGTCAGTGGTGGGCTTCCTACTGTCCTACTAGCAGCTGTGGAAAAGGCACAGCAGAGAGACTTGCCCCGAGGCTTTCTGCCCATCAAAGGACTCTGGCTACTAGTCCACGGCTCTACGGGTAAAACTGAACCACTTCTTTGTGCCGTGTCTTCACAGAACACAAGTAACATTCTCTTCACCCAAAACACATCCTCCAAAAAAAAAGACAAAACACATCATTCACAAAGTCCACAACTGAAGCCACAGGAAACAGAATGTCAGGGACATCTTGAACAAAGGAAGTGCAGGAGCACCAAGAATGGTGTAGACCTAGGACGTTCCAGGAAAGAATCCCTAGTAGCATGGCTTCAGAGAAAGATTGGGTGGGGAGTGCTTAGGGAAGGAAAAGGTGTACTTATTTATTTTGGCAGAAAAACACTTATAAGGTATGCATTTAACAATCTAATAGAATGGGCTCAGCAATCGTATTTCACATGATGTATAAAAAGCTTTCCTCAGGGCCGAGCGTGGTGGCTCACGCTTGTAATCCTAGCACTCTGGGAGGCCGAGGTGGGAGGATTGCTCAAGATCAGGAGTTTGAAACCAGCCTGAGCAAGAATGAGACTCCGTCTCTACTAAAAATAGAAAGAAATTAATTAGCCAACTAAAAATATATAGAAAAAAAAAATTAGCCAGGCATGGTGGCACACGCCTGTAGTCTCAGCTACTCGGGAGGCTGAGGCAGGAGGATGGCTTGAGCCCAGGAGTTTGAGGTTGCTGTGAGCTAGGCTGACGCCACGGCACTCACTCTAGCCTGGGCAACAAGTGAGACTGTCTCAAAAAAAAAAAAAAAAAAAGTTTTCCTCAAACATTTTTCTGACCAGACCTCACTTCAAGCTCAGCTTTCGTAGAGCATTCACAATGAGCAAAAGAGCTAGAGGCAAATTGCTCCTTTCCCCATTTTCCAAAACAATTACACACTTAAAAAGATACATAAATGAGAGAATACCCCACACACACGCAAACTCCGCCATCCTGTTGCACACCCACGTGCACACCATCTGCTGCCTAAAGCGCCGGGTCCGCGCAGCCAGCGTGCCGCAGCCAGGAACACAGACGGAGCCCAGGGCTCCAGAGGCTGGCCCGCAAGGGCCACCACAAGCCACTCACCATCTTTATGGGTGCTTGGCTGAGGTCGGAGTCCGTCACGGGGGTGTCATCGCTCTCCATCACGTAGATCCCTTTCCGAGACAGGGCCTGAATGACAGATTGGTGTCCTTGTAAGGCGGCCACCTGGTCCCCTTTCAGGATGAGGCTGCAGACACGACAGTACAGCTCACTGGACAGGAGCAGCTTGATGACGGGGGGTTTGATGTGCTCCTGCTCATACTGGTCAATGTAGAAAGGGTCCCTGAGGTCCTCGGGGATGTTATCTGCAAGCAGGAAGAGAGCACCCTGTGAGCGCAGTCACACGTTCAAGTCTCCGAAGCACCCCAGTGGGACAACGACGCACAGGAGAGCCCGTCAGAGCACCGCTGAAATGGGCGACTAAAAACACAGACAGGTGCTAGGCTAGTCAGTGATTTCATCATCTGCTGCACTGACAAAGCAAACCACAGCACCTCAGACTTGGGGGACACGGGCAACGAGCTGTTTCATGACTCCCGCCCGCCACGGTCTGGCAGGACGACTCTCGTAACGTGCACTGGTGAGAAGCTGGTGTGGAAGCCCTGACGATGAAGGGACACGGAAAATTAGTCGGGCTAGGACCACACAGTGCCTGGTGACACCAGACAAGAGGGCACGTGGGCACAGCCGGCACTGGCCCTGAGGAGGGAGCCCAGCGTGTCCTCTCTCTGATGTCGAAATCAGAGGTGACAAAAAAGGCGGAGGTCTTTACAGAGCAGAGCGCCAAGCGCAGTGCTGCAGTTACCATGACAGAAGCAGAAAGGTGGCAACCAGGCCTTTATCCATCTGTGGACCAGGCAGCACTAAACTCTTCACATGACACACGTTATTACATTTACACATCACTGCAATCAATGCTCCCAAATCAGGACTACTGTCCCTACGTTACGAAAGAGAAAACTGAGGCACAGAGACAGTAAGTGATACACCCAAGGTCACGGGAAGCAGAAACCAGCCCTGAACCCACACTCTGACCCAGGAGTGTCCTGTGTACTCTCAACTACTGCTGCCTCCCACACCAACACCGCCGGGAGCAACACGCACGCACACACCGCAGCCGCGTGGACCACAGCTGAGCTCCTCCCTCGCCTTACGTGATGCCAAGAGCCATCCGGCAAAAGGGAAGAGGGGTCTCTGTAGTCAAATGCATTTGGGAAACACGTGTCCCACGGAGGGAAGACCCTCTGTCTCTGACATGCTGAGACTGTCTCTGACCCTGAGATTCGGCTGGGGCGCAGATGGCCTCATCCCCACGGCTGCTTTTGGAGTTCTGCCCACCTCTGGCTAGCTCCGAGAACCGCTGGGGAAGAAAACCCACTGCTGCCAGACGTTCACCACATGCCAACAAGCCCCTCTTCCTGTCCGGGTGCTCCAAACCACCACCTGAGGGCAAGAGCCGACTCAGTGCATGGTTCAACAGCTTCCCTCTCTTCCTCCACTCCTATATGCTTTTACTTTCTTTACAGGTACTATTTCCTGAGCCCTGAGTCATTTAATCGTAGGTCTGCGGAGCTTCATCACTCCCCCCCAGTCTGAGCACTGCTCAATTGGTTTCTTATTTCTGAACAGCAGCAGCCACCATTCACACAGCACTTTCATTTTTTAAGCAGCGGCGCTCACATCAAATTCAAGTCACCACGGCAACCCCGGAGTGGCCAGGGTGACCATCAGCTCCAGCTCTGGAAGGTTGGCTTAGGAAACTCGAATCCACACTCACATCCTGAGGACCGCATCAGGTAACCTTGACTCTGAAGTCACCAGGATTTGAAACAAAAAAGATACACCGATAATAAAAGGAATGGACCCTGAGGTAATGCACAGCAGGACAACTCGCTTTCCTCGCTACCCAGTGGCAGAGGCAGCAGGTGAGCAGGGAGCGAGAGAAGGGACAGAGGGAGCCACCACACCTGCTGGAATGAGGTGTCCCCAGGAACCAGAGCAAGGTGGCCAGGGCTGGCCAGGGACAGCAGGCAGCCCGTGAGGCATGCACCTCGGGGGCTGCAGCCCTGCCTCTGAAGGGAGGGCTGTCAGGGGAGGGCCCTGAGTCAGAGTCCCACGATCTGACAACATCTTTAGGAGTTCATGCCAGCTGCTGGGGAAGGATGCAGCCTTCATCTTCCCAGCTGACCAGTCACCTCAGCCTGGCAGCCAGGGCTCCCAGCGAGAGCAGCCCTGTCCTGACTTGCGCATGTTTCCCCCATACTCGCTTCCAAGTTGCCGTCTGCTCCAGCTCGGCCTCCTTTGCTGGTCTCCCTCATTTCTCCACGTATTGGGAGAGGCACGTCCCACCTCACTCAGGGGACCTAATTCAGTCTAGTGGCTTCTAAGACTAGACAAAGAGTGATCCCTAAATGTACATTTCTAGCCCTGGCCACTTCCTTGATCTGCCATCTGACATCTCCACGTAGATTCCGGGGATACCTCAAGCCCAGTCGGCCTGGTCCAAGCCACCCTCCCCTCCCAATTGGACAACTGGCACAACTCAAGAGAGACAGACCCCCCCCTCCTTCTCTGGCTTGGGCAGCACCATGCCCCGCTGTCTGCCCCTTCTCTGGTCACTTCTCTCTTTCTCCCTTTGGCTTCTCTCCTGGCATCAGTGTGTACATCTGGTGCTGCTCAGGTTTGCCCTGACCAGCTTCTGCCCTCGCTGTGTCCATGGCTTCGGTTACTGTGTGTATAATAAGGTCCAAATGCTCCTCTCTCCAGCCCGCCCCTTTCTCTTGGGCTTCCATTCTCTACACCCACCTCCCGCTGGAGCCAGTGAGTCTCTGCCCTGCCGCTCAGCTGAGTCACCTAGGAGATCTCCACTACAAGGACACCCATGTCACTGCCCAGACCAACTCACTCAGGATGGCCTGTGGGCAGCCTGGGCATCAGCATCTGACACTGAGCATCACCTCAGCAGAAGCTCCAGAGGTGGCCATGACAGTCTCCTTCTAGAAGATGTTGTTACTCTTTCAGCACAGAAACAAGGCACCCCCCCCAAATAATTCCAACATAAGGTAAAGTGACCAGATGTGGTCTTCCAGATGACTACTACCCATAACCTCAACTCTATCCTGGAGATACCAGACACAGGAGAAAGAAAAGCCAACACCATGGCCCCTGCAGGCCTGAGCCCTCTGACCCCCCAAACACCAGAGAGAACCAACAATAAAACTGCACCCGACAGCAGCAGGGATGGGCACGCGCTGGGCAGAGTGGGCACCCACAGCTGCCCTCTCCCATTATGCTTCGCAGGCTCAGGTGCATGATGTGGCCAGGAAAGGAGACAGACCCCTGGGAACCCTAGAACCAGATGTACACAGGCCCTTCTCTGCGAGGATCCCCAAGAAGAGGGAGCTGGGTGAAAGGGTCCTTTAAGTCTATGAGTAATGCCCTAGATACCCCCTGGTAGCCCATGTGTGAAACCGACAATGAGCACTGCAACAACTTAGAGAACTACACTACAGTGCAGACCACGGTCCAGGTTTCAGGCTGCAGACAGACCAGAACAAAGGCTATGAAAACTACGCCAACAAAAACCACAGCCACGGAAGGCAGGCCAGGACTTGCAGTCTCTATCTGACTGGCATGGACTACCCACCAAAACAAACAAGCCACATCTAGATTTCTAACAGGATACAGAGTTTCAAGATATAATATTCTAAATGTCTAACATACAACCCAAAATTACTTACCAAAAGAGAAAAAACCAACAGGAAAACCTACAACTCTCAAGAGAAAAGACAATCAATAGTGACCTGACAACCAAATGCCAGAACTGTCTGACAAAGACTTTAAAGCAATTATTATAACTGTGCTCCAAGAAGGAAGGACAAACACTTGAAAGAAATGCAAACACTGACACAAAACTGAGAGAATTCCAGGGAAAGAGAAGTCCCAGTATGGAGGGAAACCAAAACCCAGAGAAGGCAGGCAGGTGCTGGTGAAAACAATGGCTGCAGAGCAGCTCCCCACCACGGCCACCCTGGCCTCCCCACGAGCAGCACTGCCCAGACAGAGCTGTCCCCACAATGGGGATGGGTGAGCAGCAGCCCCCCAACCCTCATGGGACACTCCCCACACCACTTCCATTTCCAGGCTTGGTGGTCACGACACAGGCAACAGCTCTTCTACAAGGACAGTACCTGGTGGAGGGATGGGGAGGGAGAATGGGGAGAGGGGGCGGGGGGGTCACAAGGGCAAGGTCAATCAGTTTGTGGGAAGGGTGACAAACGAGGATAGCCAAGCACAAACTGTAGGGCCAGAGGCTCCCCACCTTGACATGCAGCCACGCTCATTCACACCTCAGGTTCCCAGGAAGGACTCTAACTTCATCCCTCTCCCCAGTGAGCGTCACACACAGTTAGTTCCCAGGGTTTCCAGGGCAAGCTCACAGAAACACAATGACACCCCTGAGGAGTGCAGCCCACATCTGGCAAAGGACAGGGAGGGACAACCTAATGACAAGTCAGCACAGCTGGACCTTACAGACTAACGGGGAGGACCTCTGCTTCAAGTCCCGGTGGACCAGAGGGCAGCACCGGCAGGAAGCTTCGCCACCTAACAGAATGGTGAGGATCACCAGGCCAACTCCAGGGAGAAGATAGTTCAGTGAGCCCAACCTGGGGACAAAGCTGTTGGTCTGAGGGCCTTTGCCTTTTCTCTAGGACGGTCTGACGTTCCAGGAGAGGTGGTGTTCAGGAAGTTAAACTGCATTTCCAGTACCTCACAAACGTCTCAGGACACAGTTTGGACTCTAGGGCCTGCCAAACAGAACCTACCACACACCGTGGTCTGGACACATCCAGGCTGCACCCTCGGCGCAGGAGCGAACCTGAACTGGACAGGCCTCAAAGGGCAGAGTGCGGCTCTGAAGCACCTGACCTGGGAACCTCAGTGGGGAGACTGGGACTGCCACTGTCTCCAGGTGACTGCTAGAAGCTGAAGCGAATTCTCCCTGGAGAAGAAAACACCTTAGGCCTCAGATTGTTCCTAAAGTCTTTCAAAGACAACGTTCAGTCCATAATGAAAACAAGCAAAGGGCAAATGACGAGCCCCAACTGACGAAGCCAGCAGCAACGGCAAAGCCCAGACGCAGGTGCCCACCGATGCCCAGCGCAGCTCTGCTCACCAACCACAACCAAAATCTCTGCACAAAACATAGAAAGAACTACCTGAGGGTTCTGGAAAGCAAGCAACAGCACACACGTTGGGTAGAAGAGTCAAGCTGGAGGCAGCAACCCTTACTGGAGAATTCCCC